GTTACAAAGGTTAACCTAGACCATTATGTCAATATTAATGCCTAGCCTAGAAACACGGGCGTTACAATCAGCTAGGTATAGCCTATGCAAGAAACACCTTGAAGATGGTTATCAATGCTCACGTAAAACAGACTATGTAAATGATTATCGATGACATTCCACCAAGACAATAGAAGCGTCACGACATCCATGTTGCATATTCATATAGCAGCCCCGCTCTACAATAACATTACTAGCATCCTCGCTCTACATGATCGTAGGAACAGTTACATTGCATCACACCGACTAGATCATACTCCTAATAAGGAAATATCATTAAGCCATCTTATGATGCACAAGCCCATGCTTGGCTCAACGCGCAACACCACGGCTCCCGTGGGTGAGTTTCGGTCATTCTTTTTATTCTTTGATGCATTGGTGCTTTGTCTAGTCTGATCCAATTTCCGAAAATCCAATCACATCGAACTAGGTGGCCTTGACGACACACGATTTATATAACTGAATCCAGTCCAATGTCATTGGCCGCGTACCAATCACATCAGACTAGAGGGACTTGATGATATCAGGTCTAATAGCATGTCCTAGACAGCTCTGGCGCACTAGCCTTGCCTGGTGCTCCCTTGCTAGCCTTGATTGGCGCTCCATTGCCAGCCTTGCATGGCACTCTCACGCCAGCCTTTCCTTGCGCTCCCTTGCTAGCCTTGCATGACACACTCCTTCCAGCCTTGTTTGGCGCTTCCTTGCCATCCATTCTTGGTGCACGCCCGCCAGCCTCGTCTGGTACGCGTTCGCAAGCCTCGCCTGACGCTTCTGGGCGGCCTTGCCCAGCTCCTTGCTAGCTGGGCCTGAATTGAGATGGGCCCAGGCCTAACCTAATTCCCCTTGACCAAATTGTCCTCTATAAAGTGAATTGTGCCTCCTCCATGCGGGGGGACTTCCTTCGGTGGCTCAGCCGCCACCCTAGACTTTTCCCGGTGGCTCAACCGCCACCCGGGACCTTCCCTTTGGCTCAGTTGCCACCCTCCGCCTACAACCACCATACACTACCCCCAACACCAAGATGGTTCTCTCCAGCTAAGGAGAACCATCTCATATCTACCAACCGATCTAACTTGATTGTCAGAGCCTGCTCCTGGGGCACAATCAGTTCTAACGACTTTGCTGTGTGATGTTTAGATCCCTGCCACAACAGAAGTCCAAAAGTGAAGCCGGAGGTCGATCTTGTATCATCCGTCTTTTTGCTTCTTCTACTGGCAACAATTATACTTTTTGCGTGAGGAACTATAGTCAGATTCTCGTAACTGATCGGAAGGGTTCTCCGAAGAATTGGAAGAACCACTGGCTTTGGGTCGATGGAGAGAGGGTTCGTCAAATGTTTCACCGTGTTAAGTCTTCATCTGAAACTGCGATACACTTGTTTCCAGAAAAAGAGAACATTGTTAGGGTTCTGAGGGGCTTCGAAGTTGTTGCCAATGATTTTTTGGAGTATGTGTTTGCTGGGGCAGGGATGAGTACTTCATGGTGTTTAAACGGGAATATGCATGAGTTCTTTTTTATTGCCAAAGGTATGTTCTTTTTTCTTGCTTCTTCCTTCTCTATCTCTTCTTCCGTTGTCCTTTCTCCCTCCGCCTTTTTTTTTGAAATATCTCTGGCATGCGTTTTGGTGTTGCATGTGTAGAGGAACATGTGCGGTTCACGAATGTGTTAGCTAAAAAGTGGTCTGGGACGCTTAAGTTCCGGGAGGTACCTCTGGTGGATAGGTTTATTCCTTCTTTTTACTTTCAGTCTGAAGAATTTGTTGCCAAACTTGTTGCTGTTCAGGAAGTTGAGCGTCTTGCCGACGGTTTGTCGAGTACGAATGTTCCGACAGCGGTTCTTCATGAAGTCTCCGGTGGGGGTAACTCTGGGTTCGTTGATGCATCTGCTGAATTCTTTGAGGATAACAAAGAGGGAGTGATGGATTATGCGAATAAGAGAAAATGTATGTGGGAGAATGTTAGGAAAGAGGTTGAGCCATTGGCAGCGATTCGTTGTTTGCGCCAGCATTGGTGGTTTTCATCAAATGATGGTAGTTCTAAGTGTGGTGATGGTGAGGATGTTGTTATCGGTTTGTCAGATGATCCAGCGGTTGGTGACAAAAATGTTGTTTTGGAGGGTGGTCAACAAGGTGGTGGTTTGTCAGAAGGAGCGTCGTCTAATTCTGAGAAGATGGTTTCTCTTGGTGACTATGATCAGGGTAAGAATCTTGATGTTGCGGTGGTTGGAGGCCATATTGATAATGGTTTTGGAGGTGAATGGGGTTTCTTTTCTCTTGGGGTTGTCGATGCGTCTGTGTCGACTGGTGATTATAGTTCCGGAATCGGTTTGTGCCACAGTGGACTTGGGGCGAGGATGCTAGACTATTTGTTTTTTTGGTTCTTGAGGAGTAAGTGTGTCACTCTCCCACCTGGCACTTTGGCTAAGATGGCAAGTTATTCACTGGTAGATTTTATTGGCCCTTTATGTTTCGCTGCTGCGCTGAGTTCATGTTTTTGGCGGAGGCGGCTAGGCATCTTCAAGCGTTTGTCAAGGTGGATGTGGAGCGGTCGTAGCTTCGCCAAGTGCTCCATAATTATGTTGGTGAAAATTACTGTTGTAAAAATCGGCATAGGCGGCCACCTAGGTGCTAGGCGGCCTCTTCATGTCTACGATTAATGCTAGGTGGTAGAGTTAGGTGGGGTCGGTCCTGGGTGGTCCTAGACGGTCTTGGGCAGTCCTAGGCGGTCTAGATGGTCTAAGCCGGTAAAAAAAGTCAAACAAACAAAATTTTCAAAAAAACATCCCGATTAGTCAAATTTATGATAATGGATGACTAAATTATTATGATTGACGACTTAAATTGTTAAAAATATCCCCAATTAGTATAAAAATTATTATATACTATGATCTAAATATTTAGACGACTGAATATGCCAAAGTTGTATGGTTATTTACTTATTTTTTAGGATATAGATAATATTTAATTTTTAAAAAATAAATTATATTTACAATTAAGGGTCACCGCCTAGGCACCGATTAATCCCTGCCTAGACCGATTAGTCACTTAACCCCAGTCGACCGCCCGACCCCCACCTAGCGAGTTTTACAACCTTGGTGAAATAGAAGGTTGCGTGTAGCTGAAGGCGAGTTTTGTGCTCGGGTAAGTTTGATGGAATCGTGTTTGCAGGTGGTTGAGTCTAAAATGGGGATGGTTGTTGCTGAGAAAAAGAGTTTGGAGAAGCGGGTGGCTGTACTGGATGCCGAAAATGTTGTTGTGAAGGAGGAGCTAGAGAAGGTGAAATAGGATAATGAGGGTTTATCGATTCAATGTTTCTAGCACTTGGCTATGGATATTGGGTTGGTATAGCCTTTTAACCACTATCTTTGGCGCCTTCCTAAAGAGAGTTGGTGTATATAGAATATAGGTGAAAAATAAGAGAGAGCATTCATTGCATTAATATTTCTAAAAAGGTTTCCTTGGTTGGGCGATCTGTCCAACCATTGGATACATGATATTTTCTTTTTGGAAAAGTAAAAAAATACAGGAAATCAGTAGATTACTAGACTGTCGTTAGAGTTTGACTATGCTGGAAAGCTTAGTAGTAAAAATGTCGAAGGTTCTGGGTGTGCCAAGTTCTTGGGATTGACCTTCCTTCCATGGTTTATAGGATGTATACGTCTTTTTGGACTACTTCAATGACCCGATATGGTCCTTCCCATGATTGGCCTAGCTTCCCTCCTGGTTCTTGTCTACTGGCTTCATTCTTTTTTAGTACCCAATCCCCTATGTTGTGCGCCTTACCAGAAGTCCTTCTATTATAGTAGTTGCTTGTGGCGGCTTTGTAGGAGGCCTAACAGAAGGATGTTATTTCATGTTTTCCATCGAGCATGTCGAGATTATGGCAGGGGTCTTCGGTGTTCCAGCTCTCATCGAAGTTGGTTGTACGGAGCGATTACATCAAGATTTTCGGCGGAAGTACCACTTCCGTGCTACACACCATACTGAAGGGTGTCTCATTGGTGATTATTTGTGGTGTAGTTCGGTAGGACCATAGCACTGTAGGGAGTTCCTCTACCTAGCAGCCTTTTTCCTTCCCCAATTGTTTCTTGAGGCCTGTAACGATTGTTCGATTGGATACTTTTGTTTGCCCATTCGCTTATGGATGTGTTACTGATGTGAAGTGTTGCTTGATGTTCTGCTCTTTGCACCAGTCCTTGAAAGGGTATTCTACAAATTGTAGCCCTTTGTCATGGATTAAGAGTTGTATGGTACCGAATCTGGTGAGGATGTTTTTCCACATGCATTTGATCATGTTTTTTCCTGTAATTAAGGATAATGGCTCTGCTTCAATCTGTTTTGTGAAATAATCAATCGCGAAGACCAGGAATTTTACACATCCCAGAGCCTCCGGAAATGGTCCCAGAATGTCTATTCCCCACTGGTGAAAATGTCATGGGGAAGAAATGTTGATTAATGTGGTTGCTAGCAGGTGATGTATAGGAGCATACATCTGGCAGGGGTTGCATTTGCGTGTAGTTTCGGTGGCATCTTGGTGTATTTCCAACCAATATATGCCCATGTGTAGTACTTTTCCCGTTAGTGCCCTGGCTCCTTCCAGTGGCGTAGCCAGGATTTAGTTTTAGGGTAGGCCAAATAATTTATAGAATATGAACGAGTAGAAAAATACTTCAAATGATAAAAAAATATAACAATGTATATATTCTAAAATAAATTGTTCATTTAAATTGCACAAGACGCTCTCTTATATCATTAAAATCATCTAAAATGGAATCTAAATTGAAAAGTTTAGCGATATCTTTCTCGATGTAAAGAACTAGAGTGTCTGCAATAAAATCATCATCCATTTTATTACATAATCTATTCTTTTAGAATCTAATATTTTTTGTTTTGTTCCCATTCCTCAATAAAATTCACTAATCACAAAAAAATTCAATTACATACTCACTCTTATATTTTTTAACAAAACCAACTTACATATAATATAATAATACAAATAAAATAATTCATAGCAAGAAATAATAACCTAATTTATTAGGATTTAGGAACCTACGATAAAATATAAAATCTATGATGAAAATAAAAACAATAATGAAGCAATTGAGTAATCAAGATAACATGAAAAAAGTTAATAAATTGATCTGATGATGACAATCGATGAATAACGATTAACAAGTGGAAAAGAAACATTAAACGTATGAGCAAAGTATTACGAACAAGCGTCATAAATTATTGAATTAGAAAAAGATTAATAGTGTATAATCATCAAAAGTGACAATAAGCAATTTTAATTTGTCATTGGGTTGGGCTATGAAACCCAACTTCTTTTTATATATAATAAAATATATACATTAAATATATGAAATTAAATTTTTGTAGGGTGGGCCAAGGCCCACCGTCGCCTCAATGTGGCTACGCCACTGGCTCCTTTGTGTGCACCTATTTCTTCCACGTGTACCTCCTTTAGTATGTTTTTCCCTTCTTGGCATGTGATACACTTAATCCATGGTGCCATGTAGATTCTTCTGTAAAGGGTTCCCCGCAATAAGGCGAATTGGGGCGCTTTTATTCAGATTTTTTTGGCATCGTGGTGATCTTCTGTTGTACTCCATGTTGGATGAAATCGTAGTATGGCATCATCCAGTTCGGCTATTCTTCTTGTAACTCTGCCACTTCCTTCGCGTCTATGCTTCGGGAGGGTAGGATTTCGACAAGGACTTTCTTTGACAAATGGTCAAATGTTGTGGATGCCAGTTTACTGAGTGCATCTGCCTGTCTGTTTTCTAACCTTGGGACCTGGGATACTTCGAAGGTTTTGAAGGTGGTTGCTAGCTTTCGTACCGTGTCGACGTATTGCTTCATCCGTGTATCTTTAACTTCGTAGATACCATTGATTTGGCTCGTGACTAGTAAGGAATCACCGAATGATGTTACATGTCGCGCTCCAACCTCGCCGGCTAACCTCATCTCGGCTACTAACGCTTCGTACTCGACCTTGTTGTTTGATGTAGTGCAATCAAACCTTAATGTGTATGTCATTTCCTCTCCTTCTAGACTCCTTAGTATTAATCTTATGCCCGAGTCTTCTCTATTGAAACCTCCATTCATGTGCAAAGTCCATCTTGGTGAGTATTTTTGTGGTTTAGCTGTATCGCCTTGTGTGACGCGATCGTTTCTTTCTGGTATCTCTACTAGGAAATCAGATAGTGCTTGTGCTTTGATGCTGGTTCGTGGCATGTATTCAATGTCATGTTCCCCTAGTTCGATTTCCCATTTGGCAAGACGTCCCGACTTTTCGGGTTTCTACAATATCTGCCTAATCGACTGGTCTTTCAATACTTTTATGTGGTGCATTTGGAAGTATCGTCGGAGTCTTCTAGCCGCATATATGAGCACTAGTACGAGATTTTATAGAATTGGGTAATTAAGTTTCAGACCTTGCAGGGCTCTGCTTACGAAGTAAATAGGTAACTATCGGGTGGTTCTTTCGACTGTTAGGACTGCACTGATTTCTTATGTGGCTGCTGCGAGGTAGATTGTAAGTGTCTCGCCCGGTAGTGGGCAGGATAGAGTTGGGAGTTGTCGGGGGCTTTTTTTAGTTCATGTAGCACCTTGTCTACTTCCTTTGTCCATCGAAAATTGTTCTTGTCGATACATCCTTTCGGCATCTTGAAAAGGGGTAGTGCTTTCTCGGCGAATTTTGCGATGAACCTTCCTAGCACTACTAATTTACCATTGAGACCTTGCATCTCCTTCAAGTTGGCTATATTTTTTATGTCTACCATGCCCTTGATCTTCTCCTTTAGGGGTTGTATCCCTTTCTTGGTGACATAGTATCCTAGGAATTGGGCTTCCTCGGCTTCGAAGGTGCACTTCATTGGGTTCAGCTTCATTTGTGTTGTTTCTAGGGTCTTGAACGTCTCCTCAATGTCCTTGAGTAGTGATTCATTGTGTGTGCTTTTAATGACCATGTCGTCGATGTAGACTTCTATGTTTCTTCCTATCTGGTTCTGGAAGATTTTGTCGACGAGGCATTGGTACGTGGCTCCTGCGTTCTTGAGTCCAAAGGCATTTTTTCGTGTAGCAGAAAGTGCCATGGTCTGTGTAAAATGCGATTTTTCTTCATTTTCTTTTTTCATTAAGATTTGATGGTAGACTTTGTATGCGTCTAAGAAGCATTTCCATTTGAATCCCTCTAGGGATTCCACTTTCTAATCTATCTCTGGCAGGGGATAGCAGTCTTTTGGGCGTGCCTTGTTGAGGTCAGTGTAATCGATGCACATTCGCCAGGAGCCATCATGCGTCCTTACTATGACGGGGTTGGTTATCCAGGAGGGGAACACTGCTTCACGGAGGATGACATCTTTAGTGAGTTTTTCCACTTCATGGTTGATTGCTTTGTTGCATTTTTCTTGCTTATCCTCTCCTTTTTTGTTTGATCAATGTGCTTCCTAGTGCAATGTTGAGGCTATGTTCAACGATGTCTCTGTCAACGCCTACCATATCGATTGGTACCCAAGTGAAGATTTGCTTATACTTTTTGAATGGTGATATAAGTTTAACCCTTGTCGCTTCCTCCAACGTTTTTCCTATGCAAATTGTCTATTCTGGAAATTTCTCATTGATTACTTTTTTTTCTTTGGGTTCCACGTCTCTTCGACGCTTTTTCCCCCTGATGGTTTCTTCTGATTTGAGGATTTGGTTACATTCTAGTCTCTTAGGTACTTCCGCAAGAATCGTGGCTATTCCTTTATTTGTTGGGAATTTCATTAGGTCGTGGATGGTTGATATGATCGCTCTGTATTGCGGTATCATTGTTATTCCTAGTATAATGCTTTGCTCTGATGGTGCTCTCACTGCCATGAATTCAAGAGTGACTATTTTATTTCTATCGTTTCGGACGTATATGAGGGTGAGTGGGAGGTGAAGGGTGCCAAGTGGTTGTACATTGTGGCCTGTGAAGCCTATCAACCTTCCTGGATCAGTTTTCAATCCTTCCTTCCAGTTGTAGAGGAGTTGTTGGAAGCAATGCTCGAACATGATGTCTGCTTCACTGCCATTGTCAATGTATACTTTGTGCACTGTTGTTCTTCCGATGTTATCTTGGATTATCAGCGAGTTGTCACCCTTCCACTCTGGCGGTGTAGGGTTTTCTTGAGAGAAGAATATTTTGCTTGTCGTCGTCTTCTGTGCGTGTTCTTTTTGTGCAATTGCACTTCTTTGATGGCGGTGGGTTGCTCTGATTGCTACAATTTGTGGTGCTTTCCCTTTGTCGTTTTGCTCCT